CCTTTAGACAGCAGTGCTCCTGGCTCTCAGGCCTTTGGACTCAGACCTGGACATGCACCATCAGCTCCCCCAGTTCTCAGGCCTTTGGGTTTGGACTAGAAATGCACCACTGGCTTTCCTGGCCTCCAGCTTGCAGGAGGAGGACTCCTCAGCCTTCATAATCAGGTGAGCCAATCCCTTATAATAAATCTTTTTCTACATATCTTTATATATTCTGTTGGTTCCTTTTCTCTGGAGAACCCTGACTAATACACAAAGCCTTCCCTGCCCAGAGAAATTCAAGGACACCTGCCTCAAAGTACCAGCACCTCCACTCCCAAGGTCATGGTTGTGGCCTTTCCGTTGGCTCCCACTAGAAATGCAATAATAACAAACTCATGAGAATACTGGTGACTTCACTGAAGGTTTCAGAGTTCCAGGTGTGGTTCTGTCCTTTCAACCCACCTGTCCCTCCTGCCATCACCCACATGATTGCCTGCAGCCCCTGCATACAGGCAGAGTAGCTTGCTGATTGCCAGCCCTACAGATCTCCCTGGGAAAAGCTCCATTGAGCTGGCCTGCCTTCCTCTGCACTCTGGAACTTCAGCAGAGTAACATTTTTTCCATCTTGTCCCATGTTTATTAGAGAGAAGAACTCTTTCACACTGGTCACTTTTAACTCCTAATCCTTGAGCAAAATCACATTGACCATTAGAAGGAAGGACCAAGTGCAAATCCTGGTAGCAGACACCAGCAAGGCCAGGACATCCTGGTGTGGGGCAGATGGGTTGCATGGGTGCACGCATGCGTGTGTGTGTGTGTGTGTGTGTGTGTGTGTGTGTGTGTGTGTAGGGTGGGATGTCCTAGGGGGGAAAGAGGGCATAAGGCAGTTCATAAGATCCTTGTTCTAATCCCAAAATAGTCTCATGAAAACACACAGCCAACACAAGCACATCACGGTTATTTGAATGTCATCCAAATATGGTTTCATTCATATTTCAGTGAAAACAAACCCTTACTGCGTTAGGTGAGTCCAACAGCACATTGCTTGCTTGTGCTTTTATCATGGCATTTATTTCATTCTAGTTTGGTTATGGCTTGATTTTTAGATATTCATTTTACTCCTAGACTCTAAATTTCCTGATATCTGTTCTAGATTGAATAGTGTTCCACCCAAATTTATGTCCACCTGGAACATGTAACTGTGATCTAATTTGGAAATAGGGCCTTTGCAGATGTCATCAAGGTAAGGTCATATTGCATTAGGCTGGGCCCTAAATCCAATGACTGGTGTCCTTGCAGGGAGAGGGAGACTGGGAGACACAGAGAATACACAGACACATAAGAAGGAAGGCCCATGTGAGGAGACACAGGGAAGAAGCCATGTGACTACAGAGGCAGAGGCTGCAGCGACGCAGCTGCCAGCCAAGGAACACCCGTGTTTGACAGCAACCAGCAAAAGCTGGAAGAAGCAAAGAAGGATTCTTCTCTAGAGTCTTCGGAGAAGGTGTCGTCCTGCTGACACCTTGATTTTGGACTTCGAGCTTCGGGATGTCAGAGAAAATATATTTTCCCAGTTTGTGGTAATGTGTTATCTAGACAGCCCTAGGAAATTAATACAGTATCTGTCCTGGCGTCTCCCACAACACAGAGCACACTATTTGCTTACTGCGGGCCCTGCACTGCAGCTAGAGAAAATGAGGGTAGGCTATGTGTTTGACCCTGGGTCTAAGAATGCAGCAAATGGGAGAGGAGCACAGCATTGGTGGCTCTTACTTGTTGGGTCCCTCTCGTGCCAATCCCCACAGCTCTCCAGCACAGATAGGGTGACTCCTATTTCAAAAGGCAGGAGCCCGAAGTCCCACTGATGGCCACCTGCCCCAACTGACCAGGCCACCGAGATCAGATTCCAGCCCTGGGGCTGGCTGATACCCAAATCTGTAATCTTTCTTCCAGAAGATGTTCACATCTCACCAGAAGTTTTTGTTCCACCAACCTGAGATTGTTGAGATTACACTTTTGAGGAAATGAAGCTTCTGCAGAATCCATAGGAAAAGGAAGAAAATGGGTTTGCCCAAGAGAGTGACATCCCATGATTCTAGGGCCCTCTTAAGGGAGATTGAAGTATCTACTAACATTGTTGGGAGAACTTACTGTCTCTAAAACCAGCTCCGATGCCCTGGTTCTTAGTTCTGGGTGTTGCTAATGGAGTAGCTTATAGCTCATTCCTTTGATAACTGGAAGAGACACCTGTACAGGATTTCTTTACAGACATTGAAGGCTGGTGGTAATATGAATAATTCTGTTACTTGTCCACATCTGATAATATAAAAGAGATTGTCACTACAAGTAGCTAGAGCACTGGTCAAGATGCAACAGCACAAAAGCCCCTGCAAAGAAAATCAGTCAACAAAGGAGAAGGGAGGTGAGGGAAGATGATTAGGAAATAAAAATTTTTAATTACAAGAATAGAAGAGTAGAAGTATCATAAAAGTGTTACTAATCAAAAGGATAGATTTCTGGTTTATTGCTAAAATCTAACACTCACTGTGTACACATTTTTTATTGTAAAAAGTGACACAGGCTAAATCATAATAATGTGAATCAATAACTAATTAGCATTTATAAATGCAGCTACTGGGAAACATATTTCAATTTCATAGCAAGGAAAAGAGAGAATCAATTAACAAAGCCAAAAGTGAAGCAGGCACATGTTTCGCCAGTCTAAACGTAGAACTGCAAATTGAGTCAAAGTTCTGCCCCCAGAATGTATAACCTGATGTCCCTATCTCAAGCCGAACCAAAAATTAGATGCAGAGAGAAAGGATGAAGCATGAGCTGCTCAGGTTTCCACCAAAGTCACTGGGGAAATAGGTGACATCTTCTCCAGATATTTTTCTGGGCTGGCCTAATGGAGATGAATGAGAGAAAAGGAACAGGCAGAAAGGGGAGGAGTGAGCACACTAATAAGAATGGCCGCACACATGGCGCGTGGAAAGATACAAGAATGCATGGGTCTGGTGTAGTTGTAAAAGCTGATTCAAGAAGACAGATGACTTCACGTTTGGCTTGCTTTCCTTCCTTCAGATTTGGCATGTGTTAGGAAGAAGATTGAAATGAAGTAGTTAAAATGAGCAAACAATTCAGTTTGCCATCGCATCCCGTATGTGTTGGTTTCTTGACATGATTTTGTTACAACTCCACACGTTTACTTAGCTGTTGCTGAGTGTTGACGAGCTCTGGTTCCATCTCAATCAGACACAGCAGCCTCCTCATTCCCAGGGGCCACCAGAGAGGCTCAATGGTCCTCCCAGGCAAGAGCCAGGCATTGGGGGGAAACAGGAAAAGACAAAAGGGCAGGGTTAAAAGACATACAGAAGTGGAAAAAGGGATGAATGAAAAGAAAAATCAGAAGTAAAAATTAGCATGTGAATGGGGAAAGCAGGGTATTATATTCTGCATTTTAGGCCCTGCTATTAGCAAGTCTCCAGCATGCTCGAAAAGAGAATACACCTTCTCTATAACTCTTGGCATGTCCACTTGCTACAATTGCCTCCTTCAAGGCACAGGCCAGTTTCCATCTGCTTTTCACTAAGTCCTAGATTGATTTCAACAAAGCTTTAAAAATCCCTGATCTATCAGGCTGCTGATGCACATACAATTTACATCATAGTCAGGCTGAACTATTGCAGTCTGCTCTCCAGGCTCTCCCTTGGCTTTGCAGGCCACCCACCATGGCAGCGCCCCTGTTTGGCTGGTGCCACCATGTATTGCCTTGCTAGATCCTGCCTGGGTTTTTCCCATTCCTAGACCTTGGATTTGAGCTCATCTTTGAGAGATCGCAAGTTAGTTGTCTCTAAGTGAAAAATGGGAATGGATATTCTGTATCTACTTTTGAAGCTTTTTAGCCCATTTCCTATCCAGCCTGATTTCAATTTCAGGCCTTCTGTGATTCCCAAGATTGGGTTCAGTAGTCTCCTCTCTGTTCTCAAAGCACACTCTGCTCGCCCATGCCTGGAGCCCCCACACCCTTACTAGGCGCTCCCCACCAGAATGGAAGTCCTCGAGGCAGTCCTCAGACTGTCATAGCATCCACAGTGCCTGACACGTGCCTAGCACACAGGTGGTGTTCAACAAAGAATGAACAGACAAGCAAATTCATGAATGTTGTTCACCTTTGGAAATGACGGAAGCATTATAAGAGCCAGGATAGCTAACAATGCTCTCTACAGAACAAGATTTTAAGTCAACAGAGAGTGAGGAACTCTTTACTTGGCTTATCAAAAATAATTTTCCTGAAACCAAGGCTCAGCGATTGGGCTATGCAGCACTGAAGTCATATTTTGCACCAGTCAACCTCAACTTACTGAGAGTTTTAAAATAATATGTGTATTTTGGTCAATGATTGAGTTTTACCATCATAGCTCCATTGTTCAAAATTCATAATTTCTTCGTTGCAGCTTCTTCTCTCCTTCCATCTCATCACAATCATCTAGAAAAATTTACCCACAAATGGCAAGTGCCTTAAATTATAGCTTCCTGTGTCTTCCCAAGCTGCCTGTTTTCTTATCTCTCTCTCACGATAGTAGCCAACCTGGCTACTTAGACAGCTCCCCCACATAAATTTCCATGAGGACAAGAGTCCAGGCCACTGTTAATCCTTCCTTACTGTAGTAAGCTATAAAATGGCCAGGTGTTCCTCCAGGTCAAACAGTTGTTCTTTAGGACATTATGAACTTATACAAAGCATCATATTTCTCTCATAATATCAACATAATATAAACTTTTCTTTTTTCAGTGAAGAAGCCTCTGTTTGTTATCTGGCTACATTCTTGCATACAAATCCCTAGCAAATTATTTTTCAAATTCCAAGCTTCATTAATTTAATTGAATCTGTTCCTAATTTTTAATTAAATCTGCATTTCTCCCAGTAACCTTTGGAAAGCGATGGAAGTCACATTACCATATTGGAAAGAACAGGATCACAGAGCAAGACAGACATAAAAGTACAAAATCTTGAGGCAGGTTTTCATATAAATTTATTTTTGTACCAAAAAAAATAACATTCAAAGGCAATGTTTTTATTGTACAGTATAAAATAACTTCTACTAAATTAAAAATTGGATTTTTTTTGCTGATAAACTACTAATAACTTTTCTATTTAAAAAAAAACAAAATTTACAATTTGCAGCACTTGTAGAAAAAAACACCTGTTCAATAATTATATAAATACTCTCGACAGATTTAAGTAGCCCATTATGTATTCTTTTTGGCAATGTCAGCTTTCTAAAATCAATTAGCTTCTAAATTTGAAAGGCACTTGGTGGCCAACATTCTGTTTATTATTCAAGGCATCCATTTCAATTTTTTTTTTTTTTTTGCACAGACTTGACAAGTCTGAAAAATCTTAAGTTCAAAAGAATGAAGAAATAGACTGCATTTGATATTAGGAAACAACATTTTTTTTTTCCTTTTAGCTGCAAGTTTTCCCCAGGGGATTTACAAAGTGCACCAGTTAAATATGTCTGTACATTTAAAACATTAAATATGTCAACAGCGAGACTTTTTTTAAATATTTTGAATCAAATACTATAGCACAAATATAATTTACAATACTTTGCACAGAAAACATTACATCTGAAATATAACTTTAGAAATATATAAAAATACATATATTTTCTCTCCTCATTAGAAAACGTATTTATTTGCAGGTTTCAGCATGATGTAACAATTCAAAAGAACTCACCCCCTCTGATATCACTCATTTGCATTAGATGACACCCTCTCCACTTAAGCTGCATAGAGGTGCATTACCCAGGGGATACACCCAGAGAAGTTTCCCCTCCCATAGCCCAAAGACAGGTTTGTTTGTTTTTTTTATAGAGGCAACCATATTGGTTGGCTCCAATCTGGTTTAATTCTAGGAATTCATTACAAAATTTTAAAACCATTGTGTAACACACCATGAGTCCAACATCTCCCATTGGCTGTCAATATGCATGTTCTCTACAGGTCAAGAGCATGGACAATGAGTCTTGTACCATTGTGGGCCATGCCTCTTAGTAGTCTCACACACCTATATACATCTTTGTTGGCTTGTTTAAAAAACAAAGTTTCTAAACATCTAGGAAATACATGATAATGTTCCAAGTTACATGGGGCTCAATCGATATCGCGAACCTTAAAAGCCCCAAAGTACGTTGCGTCTTGATCTGGGTCCAGAAGGGATGGGTTGGATACCTCAATGCTTATTGACTCACCAGATCGTAGCTTAAAAAATCCTCCAACATTTATGGAATAAAAATGGAATTCAGAATTCCCTGACCAATATTTGGTGCTTCCTCCTTTCATCAGGGTCTGAGAACTCGGGATTTTGATGCTGGTTTTAGTGACATACACCATTAGCTGAAGATACTCCGTAGCTAGGTCTCCTGAAGTCTCATGATGTCGAAAGCAAATGTTGGCATACAGGTAATAAAAGCCATCTTGGTTAACTATTAGTTTTCCGTTGCTGAAAGTCATGTTGGAGATCTTGGCCCAACCCCGGTCATGGTACCAAGAGGACAGACTCACTTTATGGGAACCTGTGGAGAAGAGAGGCACGTCATCTAAAATCCATTCCTTAACTGAAAAGGACATCCTTGCAATTCCATGAGGTTGGAGAGAAAAATAGCCTAACAGTTATTATTCCAGTGGGAAAATAACTTCTTGGAATTTATTTTCTAAAAGGGGAGAAATAATATTCAGATGTATTTAGTGCTCTGTATTCGGCATCTAAGAGGGTGCAAAGACAAAAACTCACTTTTCCTGCCCTTAAGGAACCTACAGCTCACTAGGGATAAGTATGACCTGTGTTCAGATAAGAAGTAAGGCCTGAGTGTGAACAGGAAAGGTGCAGGTGATTGCGAAGGGAATTCAAAAGAGGGAGAGATCAAGAATGGCTTTGTTGCTTGGAGCCTGAGAATTTAAGAGGAATAGGATTCAGCCACACAGGAGCAGAAAGGTCACTCCAGATTCCAGGAAGAGAACAGCCTAAGGCAATTAGGACAGGAAAGCAAGGAACTAAGATAGGAAGAGACTTTCCATACTTCACATGTCTCAATCTTCTCTTTTCATTCATGGACAGGGATAAGTAGGAGATGAAACTCTGGTAACTTTGGCTAAAAGGCCAAGCTCCTAAACTCTATTCTCATCACCATCTCTTTTCCCCACCTCTAATAGCCCCAACATCTCCCAGGCTCACACAACTGAAAAGCTACCCCCAGAGAAGAGAAGCTCGAAAAGAAAATATTCTTGGCATTGCACTCCCCAGCTTAACAACATCACACAATCCTTTATGACCAAAGTCCTGATTGACCTTTGGCCCTTTCTCTGATCCTTTGGCCATTGCTCTTTTGGCCTCTTCTCACACCAGAAATGAGGTGACAACTGATCCTCTTGCTACTGTTTCTGGAACAGCGTACGTTTCTTAAGAGTCTTTTAAATCAGCAATCTATCCAGTGCTTTTCATATTTCAGGTCCTTAGTGCATTTTGCTGGGTCTTCAAAAATTGGCAATACCTCTATGATAAACCCAACTCATCAAACATTTGTATTTATGTGGACACCTTTACTCAACTAGAAAAGGCAGTAAATAACTGGGGACAGGGGAGGGGAACAGGGAGGGAGACAGAGGAAGTTGTAATACTATGGAAAGTCCAAAAACATTTTTTCCTCCGGAGGATTTTGTTTAGTTTATGCTAAACTAAGGTTGTCATCTGTTTGGAAGCAACAAGACAAGACAGAGCTGAATCTCAGACTGGGGTTGAGCTTAGTTTCTGCAGCCACAGGGAAGTTCTTTGCTGCCTGTCATGCCTGCCCACAACTTAGGTCAGGTCTTGAGATACTGAGGGGCAGAAACCAGCCCATAGACTTAGGCTGTAGTGGATTCCAAGCATCCAGCAGAACTGGCAACAGACATGTCTGGGTAGAGTGAATCCTTAGAGGATCATCCTAGAATAAGACACTTGCTACCTTCCCAGACTAGGCTGAGTCCTGGGAAACCTTGAGCGTCTACATCTTTCTCTGGAGAGCCACAGATGGAGAATGCTCTACTGTCTCTGGAAGAGCACCACCAGCAGCCTGGGATATGATCTGGGGACCTCGAAACCAGGCTGTTCCAAGAACCAGACAGGTGGTTCTTTGAACCACTTTGAAGAAAAAATTGCAGCAGGGGCCAAGCTATAGTGGCACAATACGTCATCAGAAGGCCAAGAATCCAATAGTTCCAATTGTCCAGGGACAATTAGATACCTTCCGAACTCCACGACCTATCCATAGCAGGACCATCACAGGCACTACTGCCACCCGGGTCCACCACAGTAAACGTCCTTCGTTTTCGTTGGAAGGTCATCCCAGACTAAAGCATCCCCAATGTAAATACCATCTTACGGTCCCAAATGAGTCAACATAAGACTATAAGACCCCATCCATCACATCCTAGTGAAGTAATTCCTCTAAGATGGGAAACAGCCACCTGATCCATTGACACAGCCAACAAAATTCAGGATGTTTTTCATCTCAAGTTATCCCAGGTTGCTCTCCTTCTTACCCCACTCCTATAGTAAATCCTTTGTTCAATCAATTATTTGTCTCATAGGTATTATAAGACAATTATTTGTTACTATAAGATTATTTGTTACTATTTGTTGCCATAAGACAATTACAGTTACTATAATTCAATCATTTGTCTTATGCTTAACAGAGAGAAACAGAACAACTAAGGTGAATTCTACTCTCTCAGTGGGATGGATCCAAGTGTTAGAGCAAGATATGGACTAGGAAGGCAGGGAAGGAATATGACACAGAGAGGGGAAAATACAGGAACCTCAACCAAATCCCATTGTTAGGTAAATCAAGTGGAAGAAGTATCTTTATTTCCTACTAAACATCTCTTTATATTTATCCATTCGTTTACTCGTGTGTTCACTGGTTCATTCTGTTGATCAGTCATGCAATATCAATGTGGTACTTTCTATGGCCATTCACTCTACCCACAATTAAGAATTATATCAAGTAAGTGTACCCTCATGGCACTTAGTGCTAACAGTGGAGAAAACAAGAAATGGACACATAAAACATAATTTCACTTCTGCATGTTGCACAGCACATGGTTGACATTCAGTTGCAAGCAATTGCCAAGTGAAAGCTGCAGAAATTCATGGCAATCAGTAGAGCTCAGCTCAGTGAGGAGACAGTGGAGCCAGAGAACAGCAAGGACTTGGTCAAATTTGGTCGGGCTGAGAGAAGGGAGAGTATGGTCAGTGAGGGAAACTGAGCAAAGAATGGAGTGCACGTGGCACCTACAGGAGAAGGGGAGGAAAGCCAAAGAATGTGAATAGAGGACTCATAAACAGACGATACTAGGAGAAAAGATGAGAAAAATATGCTGGGACCACGTTGGATGGCTTCACATGGCAACGTGAGTCTCCATCACTAATGAGGCATGCTGACAACCTCTGACCCCAACCTCCCCAGCCTCCCCACCCCCATACTATGGTCCCTGATAGTAGATGCCAGAGAAGAGGCCTCTGCAAATATTTAGCCAGAGCATCCCCTAAAGAAACCCATACATTCTGACCTCACAAAATACTTCCAAGTGCATTTTATTCAAGAAGCTTTGAAAAGGCACAAGATAACAGTCCATATAAAGCAGATTCTGATTTCTTGCATGTAAATGAGAATAAAACAGAGCCCCCAAATAAGTATGCAAAATTAAAGCCAACTGACTCTGAAATATCTAGTACTGGCCAAAACTGGGCGATAAACAGACTCCAGGGCTTGTTGGCCCAGCCAGAGCAGCAAATTCTATTTTCTTAAACAGAAGCATACACTAACTCATTTCACTCAGACACAAACTCAATAACTGTCAGAAAATAACCAGGAGTTTTGCCTTGTTTTTTTGGCAATGATTTGATGCTAGGTGCCTGCAGAGAGAGTTTTATAACTAAAACATGCTTGCTGTTGCCAAATAGACTTTGGCACACAGGCTGATGCAATATTTATCATATGCTATTTAAAGTGAACTGAAAAGATAAATGTACAGTACATTCACAGCACACACAGCAGCGGCAGCAGTATTAATCTGATTGCCTTTGCTAACGTGCAATATAGTTTTCTACTCAGACAAAATTAGCGTAGCTCCACCATAAGGCACACAGAGACACAAAGAAAGAAAATTTGTTTATAAAGCAAGTATCTGGGATGGGATAGGTTGTTTGGAAAATCCTCTAAAAACCAAAGAGTTGGTTTCTTACTTTCTGTGTCTTCAGTCAGGAAAAATCCCTCCATGGCCCATGCTATGACAAAGGCTTCAAAATCACTTATAAGTTGGACTACTTTTAAGTTAAAAAAAAAACTTGCCTTAAATTATTTGTAGGAAAAAAGTGGAATATGTATAATTATTTAATTATACTCAAAATAGTAACAACAAATCACATTCACTGAATGCTTGCTGTATGCCACCTTCCATGCAAGAATGTCAGTACATTACCTGATTTAATCTTCATAGTTACTCCCTGAGGTAGATAGATGCTATCACCGTCCCTGTTAGACATGATGCAGCTGATGCACAAATAACACCAGTAATTTGCACAAAGTCACAGAGCCAGTGAGTAGTACGGTGGACCTCAAACACAGGCAGCCAGATTTTAGAGCCCCTCTTATTAGACTAGATATTACACTAATCTACTTTTTACAGGAAAAGAGCAACATGAGAGCTTTGAATTTATTTCCCTCTGGCAAAGACAACTGCCCACAAGTACCGCGTGGCCTGTTTCTATGATAACGCATAGCGTAAAAAGCATGGACTTGGGAACCAACTAGGGTGGAATTCAGCTTGTATTTCTGCCACCACTGTGACCTTGAACAAATGACAAACTATATGTCATTTAATTTCCCTGTCTGCAAAATCTGAATGACACTCCCTACCTCGCAGGGCTGTAGTAAGGATTAGGGATAATGAACACAGAGAAAAATGCCTGCTGCATAGTAGTTGCTCAGTAAGTAGCATAATAATAAAAACGATAATGTTCAATGATCACTCTATCATAATGTTCTTTGTAATCTTTTTCGTCCTTATCTAGGGCAAGGTGAGGGAACCCATAGGGGTTATGGTATGGAATAGCTGGGACATTAAGGCAGCTGTAGGCACCGAGCCCTGGGTTTCCTCATTTTCCAAAGATAATCAGGGCTCTAGTCCTAAACCCTGACCCAGAGAAAATGATAAACACCCGGAGAAGGGGATGAAGGTCTCATTTTCTAGAGGCTACTGTCTCTTAAAGATCTTAAAGGGGATCTTTTAAAGGTCCCCTACCTGGAACTCTGCAGGAGATGGCTGAGGATGCCACTACCTGATGCATTCATTCACCTCAGAGCTGTGTCAACTTCAGCTTCGGGAAACACAGATGAGCATAACAAGGATTGTCCTTCCAAGTTATGACTGCCAGTTCCAACTGGCAGTCATTTAAAATAAACACCCACTCTGATGATCTGAAAATGAACAGAGTGGCAATGTCCATTCTGGCATTTTTGAGAATCACTGCTTTCAGGATGTGGATCATCAACTGAGGACTAATGACGTATTTTTTTTTTTTTTTTTTTTTTTTTTGGTTTAGAAGTCTGGGCTCTCGGGCCTGGGCAGGGTGGCTCACACCTGCAATCCCACCCCTTTGGGAGGCTGAGGCAAGAGGATTACTTGAGGCTAGGAGTTTGAGATGACCCTGAGCAACAAGTCAGAACCTGTCTCTACAAAAAATAAAAAATAATAATAAAAAAAAAAATGAAACTAGAAGAGCTCTCAGAAATTTAGTAGCAGGCTAAAAATACATCTGAGTATGTAAATGGACTGATAAATGACTCCTAAAATATTTTTCAAGATGGATGCAAATGGAACTTACCTGATGGGATGTCAGTGGCATTAATGGTGAGATGTGCAAAAGGTTGAGTTTCAGGCTTGCCCCTCCTGGCCAGATCTAACCATGAACCATCCACCATAGCTGAAGATGAGAGAAACCATATTAGCCAAAAGAGTAGTGACGCTGCGGGGTTTCAAATATTCACAGAGATCCACACTTACCTTTCTCTGCTCTGATATGCTGTGATCCAACAATATGTTGTAATTCCTGAAACAGAAAGGAAAAAGAATCTTATTTATAAACTCATTCTTTCCTTAAAGCAGTAAGAATTCAAGACTGTTAGACATGCAATAAATTAACTCTCTTTTCCTTCAAAAGATGCCATGAGTGCATAGGCACTGAAATTCCTACATGTTCTAGGTAGCTGTGAAGGGAAGTTCATCCCAAAGAATTGGATGCTGATGTGCTTAAAAATTAGACCACACACACCATCAAACAAAATACTCTGGACAATAAAAGGAAATAAATGACAATGTAAATTATAAAACGTGGAATAATTAGACATAATTAAAAATCTGTAGCAGGTACACAAATGGAGACGAAGTTAACTATGAAAATAACAATTACGCAGAATGTACAACCCTCTTAAATCTTCTGGGAGGCCCTTTTTGTGTCTGTTTCATTAGTGAATTCCTGTTATAACACTAAAGCTGGCTGGGTGCGGTGGCTCACGCCTGTAATCCTAGCTCTCTGGGAGGCAGAGGCAGGCGGATTGTTTGAGCTCAGGAGTTCGAGACCAGCCTGAGCAAGAGCGAGACCTCGTCTCTACTAAAAATAGAAAGAAATTAATTGGACAACTAAAAATATATATAGAAAAAATTAGCTAGGCATGGTGGCGCATGCCTGTAGAGAGATTCCTAATTTCTCTGTTACCGGGACAACCATTCCCGGTAACCATTCCCCCACCCCATGATGGTTAAAGATAGGCTATATAGCTTAAGTTCTTTTAGCATTTGGAGAAGAGGGCTTTGAAATAGATTGGAGAGATAGAGAGATAGATAGAGAGATAGAGGCAACAACATAACATCACCTTTATCAGCTGGAAGCCTTCTGGAGATAAGATAACATTTATTCTTCTCTCTGCCTTCAGGACCTCCAAGAGAGATGAGAATCTATTCTATTTTTAAGGACCCTTGGAGGAGACAGCACGGCTGTCTTCAATTACCTATTCTGAAGTCCTGAAGTCACAGTGTGGCTGACTTCTAGAAAGAAACCTTAGAGGCCCATCCAAGGCCACCTCTGCCCTTGTCTAGACCCAGGGCACCACACCGCATAGCTCCCGAGGCCCCACTTGCAGGGAGGGTATTCTAGGCAAACGGCGGCCCCTTTTGAGTTGAGTGGGTTCTCTTCCCATCCCTGCTGGCCTCCAGCCTCCTAAGTTTTTTCCAAGACCTTCAGATTCTCAATGGTGTTCGATTTTTGGAATTTTCTGATTTTTGTCTTTCCTGCGTTCGCAAGAGATTTATATATACACAGTGTATCTCTGTACATTGTATATAACTTTGTATTCTTATATATACAATGTATCTTTATACATTGTGTATATCTTTAGGTATATATAGTTATATATACACACATATACAATGTATCTTTATATATTGTGTATATCTTTACATACTTATATGTAACAATGTATCTTTACCTGAGTACTGACTCAAAATTGGAAGAAGAACCTTGGTGACAGAGTAACTCAGAGATTTAAAGCTACCCCTCATGTTCCCTCTAGCTCTGGCCTGCCTCGCCATCAGAGGAGAGAAGCAGGAGGGAAGGAGGAAGCACAGCTAAGTATGGCATATACCTCAAAATGCCTGTGTCATGATTTTCTACGCAAACACACTTAGTATCAAGAAAAACAAGGAAAATGTCTTTGTCCTAGTCAATGGTTCTCAAACTCGAGCATGCATGTATCACCACCTCCTGGAGGGCATGTTAGACCACAGACACTAATTGGGACCAGCCCAGTTTCTCATTCAACAGATTTGAAGCAGGCCTGAGAATCTGCATTTCTACCAGGTGAGCTGGTGCTGCTGGCCTGGGGCCTCATTTGACAATGACAATCCCTTTCACATCCAAAAGACTCACAGATGGGCAAACTGGAGGTTTTCTTGAAGACTGAGACCCAAGCCAAAGAAGCAGTGGACTCAAGCCACTGATTAAATGGGCAAATGGGCAGGAAAAGTTTGTTCTCTCCCACGTGGGAATGACCTTTCCTTGCCCATTTAATCAGTACCTTCTAGGTCAGAGCTGCCACGGACGCATTTTGTTACAAGAAAATTCAACGATCAGCACATCTCAGAAGCATTTTCAAAATCTGCTTAAAACAAAACAAAAAAGCCTTCATGACCCAGGATGAATTAAAACTCTAGGTAGAAAGCCAGGAGGTAACATTCCTCTCATGTTATACCTGTTGGGTATCCAAGAGTTGCAATTCCCCTCAGAAACCCCGCAGGGAAGTTGCAGTGTGAAAGGGGGCACATCGTGTGTCTACAGCCTCAGGTTACCAAAAAAACAAGCATTCCCAATATCTGTACCTCCACCCCAGGGTTTTTTTTTTGTTTTTTTTTTTAAAAAAAATAGGGTCTCACTGTTGCCCAGGCTAGAGTGCAGTGGCACTATCATAGCTCACTGCAACCTCCAACTTCTGGGCTCAAGTGATCCTCCTGCCTCAGCCTGCTGAGCAGCTGGGACTATAGGCAAGTGCCACTACACCTGGCTAATATTTTATTTTTTATAGATGGGGGTCTCTCTATGTTGCCCAGGCTGGTCTCAAACTCCTGGCCTCAAGTGATCCTCCCCCCTCAGCCTCCCAAAGTGCTGGGATGACCACATCTAGCCCACCTCCACTTTCTGAGCTCTAGGATCATTGTTATTTATGTGCATAGATATTCATCATAAATACAAAGTTCTTCTAAAACTACAGTTTTAGGGTATCTCCCATCCCTGAGACTGTAAGTAAACTTTTTGTAGGCAGAACGTGATGCATTCCAGTGGGGAACCTGACTGTACTTTAGAGCCACCCAGGAAGCTTTGAAGGTACATTATACCCTGGCCCCAAGGCCAGCCAGGCTAACTAACCCAATTAGTCTGATCCTGACTTGGTAGTTTTTAAAGATGCTCCCGGGTGAGTCTAACATGGAGCAGGCATTGTGAAACATTATTACTAATCGAGTGTTCCCATGAATAGCTGTTTGATACCATATCTATTTAGTCAAAGGTTTATTAAATTCTCACACCTTGCATACATATTCTGCATATTGAAAATTAAATAACCTCTTACATTTATAGACAACAAAATACTTCCCTTCTTTGATTTTTGTTAGAATCAGAGGCCGGGTGACTGTTACTTTTAGGTAGACAATGAGTGACTCCAGCCCTCCTAGGGACAAAGGCAGGTGCCCAGAGCAATTGCCACAGGGAACAGCCCACCAATCTGCCAATCAAAACTTAGCTCACCAATTGCAAAAGGATGCAGAGGATTCCCTAGCTATGAGCCAAGCAGCACAGGCACAATAGGGTCTGGAAGGTGATCTAGAACAACCTAAGGCTAATTATCATGTCATTAGCTTAAATCTACATTGTGGTTCACCCGCCCATATGGGCTTTCAGAGAGGCTCATGGGAGATCCAGATGCGTAGTAAGACTCAGGTTATATAACTCCAAACTATCCATCAAAGTGACATGGCAACATCGGAACCATGAGGAGGGCCCAATCCAGACACTATAAAATAAGACTCCAGACCATAACCAAGACCCTTTGTTTCGACAGGGGGTCCATTCGTTGTCTGTGGCGAACGTATCTTGCTCTGTGAACCTGCATCCTGCTCTTGCTCTGTAAACCTATCTTGTCCTTCTTCAACAAACTGTGTTTCATGCTTACTTGCTTTAGTGTATCTGGTCATTCTTTGGCCAAGAGCACACGAAGAACAGAGAACAGACTACGACCCGACATCGTTAACTTCATTTTTCAGACTGAGAAATGGAGGCAAAGAGAGAATAAGAATTCACCTAACAAAGCTGGGACTTAAACCTCTGCCTTCTAGAGGTATATGTCTATAGCGCTTTGCAAGACATAGTCATCAAATACACGCCAGAAAGCTAGGACAAAATACCAATGGCCTGCCCCATAACCCTGACACCCTGAGAGCATGACTCCCTCCCTGCAGTAGGAACCCTGAAAAGGGGGTACACCTTAACTGGGCCTCTGGCTCCTGGCGACCTGGGGAATCTGACACACCAGGAAACATGGTCTCAGAATTCCCAGGGGCTTCAGAAAACAACTGGCTCAGAACTGGCCAAGCCCTGCTCAAGGCTTGGCTGGTGAATCCCCAAAACTAAGGCCTGCAGGCCCTACAGATAAGAGGCATTGGGTCTCCAAACATGACCCTGTCGAGTTCACCCCACAGAGCAGGAGCCTCTCCATTTCATCCTGTTCTCAAAGATCAGACACTTTGCCATATACATCCCAAGCACGGATTTTTCTTGAATACCCCTTAATATTTTTTATTTTCAGGATTATAGGAACCCTTCTGAAGATAAAGCCAAACTTCACCGCAACTGACAATTCCATTTATTTTCTAAGCTTTGCATTTACATTTATTTTCATCCACATTGGTCCTCTACATCTGTCAGATTCATTAGAGTGCTTTTAGATTTCTAGAGTTCTTTTACTAAATCTTATCATTCAGACGTTGCTTCCGGTTTCTTTGAATTCAGAAAGTTCTGATAATCTAATTTTGGGGAAACACTACAAAAGAACATCCTAACTCCTTTCTTCTGAACAAATTATTCAGATGAAAGAGATCTTTGAAAAAAATGTATGTGTTTTATCTTATTTTAAGCCAGCTGTAAATTAATAAAAACCAGTTAGTGAAATGTCTGAATAAACGTCCAATGTAATCTTATGTTACCTACACTGTCAGGATGCCTTCAAATCTGCATGAAGAAGTGCAGGTAGCTTTGACACACCTTCCAGCAGACAGCCTGGAGCAGAATCCCCAACCGGTTCCAGGGACGAAGCTGTGCAAAGAGCACTCCCTGAGTTCTTCTCTGGGCTAAAAGCCGTTAGCGAACCTTTCCTAAAGAGAACACAATGGCCTGCTCCCCAGGAAGATCTGTGATCTGTCTTCTCAGAATACATCGTATTCATCATCTGTTAGGACAGCTACGATCATTACCTACAATAAGTTACTAAGAAAATTCACATTAAT